AGACATATTCCTTATATATATATGAGAGCAAAAGCCAACAGAACAAAAAAAAAAACAAAGAAATGGAAAGCTAACAGTTTTGCAAATGACTAGAGAATCGTTTGTTACATCTTAGCAGGTTTCCAGCAGGAAAGAGCATAGAGGACTCTTCCTTTCCAGCCTTGAAACATCCAGTGGTTATCGTTGTCAATCACGAAATCTTTGTGGTAACGTTCTCTCACTATTTCCTTACCATCTTTCATGATCTGTTTGTTTAATTTCACTGGCCTAAACCCTGCTCTTAGAATCCTAACCTGCCATTGCTTGTAAGTCTCGGGCCTTGCAAACCGCTCAGCGCCTTCATAGGCGATCACACTCATTGCATCTCTTATGATTAACTCTCTCTCCACCAGTGTCCTGCAATCGTTCTCTTCTTGTATTGTGGTCTCATACATGTCAAAATGGGATGAGCAATGGAACAGAGCTTCTCTGAACCTTGTTAGGAAGAAGGGCGAATTGTACGTCCCGTTAATCTCTGCAAACACAAAGAGGTCAGGATTGATGTCTCTGAACAGTTTCAGAGCCGTGTCTCTCGGAGAATTCAGGGACACGGTTTCATCAGCCGTGTACTGTAGCCGAAGGACGCAGTTGACAACTGTTGTCTCTCCACTTTTGATCACTAGCTCATCGAGAGTTATGGTCTCCCACTTTTTGGCTATGAAGCTGTACTCAAATGGGACTTTGAACATGTCACAGAACCTCTTTAGTCTTCTCCCGGTGTCTTCTACCCGCTCTGATGGGCGGAATCCGGACTGAGGCAGCTCGATTCCAGTCACTCGGAGCATTGGTGGTCCGCCTGGACGTTTTGACAGGGCTTGGATCAGACAAGGCCACTGAAATCCATAGAGAATCCCAAAATCAATGATGTGAAGCGTTGTTGCTTTGGAAGCAAGCTCAAAGATTGTTCTGTTTGCAGTAAAATAAGACATTATCAAGGTAGGGCAACCCTGAACAAACGCCTTGTATGCCTTCAAAATGTCCACCATTGATGTAGCAGATACTGGTGTAGTCATCGTTCCAGTTATACGTGCTTCAAGCGCCTCGGCAAAGTGGTAACCGAGGCGCTGAGTTGCATCTCCCTGGCTAGAAGAGTGTTCTCTTATCTCCTTCAGTTTCTCAGCAGCTCTTCTATGGTCAAAGCTAGCCACTGCTTGCGCGCATTGCATCAGGAGATTCCTCATATCAACTGGCTGATCTGAGTTTTGCGACTTGGATCGGTTCGATGATCCCTTTGCTCGTCCGGTTTTGTTCGGAGTTGCTTCTCCATGATCATCACTTTTGCACACCAACAACACTTGCTCGAACTTTTCAGCCATCTCATCCACCGTTGAAATTGCAGGGAGTTTGGATTTTCTTCCACCTTCGAAATCATCTTCTTCATCATCTCGATGGCGATACTTTCTGGTTGATTCTTCAGTGAAATCTGAAGTTGGTTGATGTAAGGTCGTTATTGAGCTGTAGTTTCCTAAAGAAGAAGAGTCGTCTATATCGCCGGAGATTTGATCAGAAGGAGGAGGAGTTTGATCCTGAAGGACATCGAAGAAAGATCTCTCGGCGGCTTGTAAGGCCAAACTGTCTTCCAACATACAAGACTGTTCTTCAAGATCTTCCTCCATCAACATGTCATTGATGTACTTAAAAACAGGAAGGTAATCTGAACATACCGTAGATTCGGTCGGAGAAGAAAGGTTCTGAGATTCAGATTCGTTGAAACAAGTGAAACGATTAGTCCCAGAGTCAAGATTGTTCCTTGGTTTGCAACAAGATCCAGAACCGTTTTCGAATTTGAACCCATCAACGGGAACTTGAAGAAGAGCATCCATGAAAGGATCAAATAAGAAGAAGAAGAGAGGGAAGAAAGGGAGTCAACAAAGAGAAGAAATGAGAGAAAGTAGTGAGAAGTTTCATGTGAACACACAGGTGAGAGATTTCTTTATATTTTGTTTCTGTCTTGGCGAAGAAGGAAAAATGAAGTTTCGAGGAACCAGAGAAATGTGGGGTTGAGATAGACACTGAGCCGCCACAAAAGGTTAGTAATGATATGTCCAAGACTTTATCTAGTGTAGGGTCAAGTGACCAAAAGCTTTAATGATTTTTTGTTCTTGTCTTCTCTTTGGTCACTTTGTCTGGTCAACATTTTAACTTACTACCTTGAATATTTTTTCTGAATATAGTTTGCGTAACAGAACCTGTTTCTAGAGTTTTCCTTTTAATTATGAAATATAGAAATCTATCTATACTTATAAATAAATACGAAGTCGCAAATCCTACGTGTCGTCTCCAGAGTGAGTTTAAGACTTAGTTTGTCTATATTACCCTTAATGAATCAATATAATTACATATCCTTGCCATAAGCCTTTTTTTGTATTTATAATCGATTATCATCTTAATAGGTTTGATAATATTTTTGTGCCATCGAAATTTTTTTAGTTTTTTACTAAAACAATTGGATTTGGGCCTAACAAAATTTGTAACTCATGTTCAATAGTTGGATTTGAGAAACCGTAATTACTACCTCTATAATTGTCTATATATAAAAAGTCTAGGGTTTTGTCCATGTTGTATTTTTGCTTTGATTTTTATTGTTAGCTTTTTCGTCAGTCACTTTTTTTATTTTTTTATATATTATATTTATCAAATCATGGTTTAGCCCATGTTAAAAATTTGTTTTTTTTTTTGTCTTTTTCGTTGATTCTGATATAATTTTTCGTCTAACAAGATTCATGCTAATTGATCGAAGTATAAGTTTCATTATTGA